CACTGGAAGTGTGTGTGTGTGTGTGTGTGTGTGTGTGTGTGTGTGTGTGTGTGTGTGTGTGTGTGTGTGTGTGTGTGTGTGTGTGTGTAAAAAGGTATGGGTGAAAGAGGTGGAGACAATAGAGACAGAAATGGTGATTTAAAAGAAAATCGTAATTTAATCCACAAACACACAGTTGGATATACTAATACAAGTCTAGTCAATATTGTTTTGTTTGAATTGCAAGCCAAACAAGCCCATTCATCACTAGACAGATTAATATCTCAAGATTATTTTGGAGCTATGGCTTCATCATCCTGTTTGGATAAATGCTGCAATGCTAAGTAAACTGCGCCATATAAAATCAATGCATCAATGCCAGCACACAGCTGCACTTTAATTGTTTTGTATTCGACTGACTGGCGACTTTGGAATATGTTGGTTCCAAATTCTTTTTTGCAGGGTTGCAAACACTAAACTGTTCTTATTTGGATAAAACATGTTCTAATACAAAAGCACTCTCTTCAAACACTGGGTCTATACTTACTTTGGAAAAATGGGCTTAAGTTTGTTTTTCAATACGAGTTGATTTCTTTCTGTGGGGGCAGAGGCTTTTGTCGCCGCTCACTGCTGCTGCACAAAAGGAGAAAGATAATGCCGTTTTTATTTTATTATTAGAACCAGTCTGGTTCCAAGCTTTATTACAAACCGCGTAACCTTAACGAACTCATGCACAGGATCCTCAGACACGGCTGAATGGAAAAGGAAATCTCTTTTCAAGATCTCTTTTGTTGTTTGTTTTGGTTTGTTTTGTATCGATGTATTAATTATTGGCTAGGTGAAAACATATAGACAACTCTCGGCATTTGCACATTTAAAGTAGACATATTGAAGCAAATGTTTCTTACCTTTTCATCTTCCTAATGCTCTCTGCAGCTAAACTTGTTGTTGGCTGATGTCTTATAAGTCTATTTATTATTCATAGAAGCACTTACTTTCTCTTTTTCGGAATAAAAAAGAATGTGCTGTCTATTTTGATTAGTATTCCCCAAGTAGTTGGCCAAACTAACACCACCAAGATAACAGGCACATTTGTCCCATTACAGTATGTCCCTTTCCATTGCCTTCATAACGTGAGAGATACTGCAGTGTTAGCATTCAACCTGCTTTGCCTTGATGACATTTAGCCAAATCCAGCTTTTCACTGATAATTACTTATTTCTTTGTGTGTGTTCATTCGAGAGGCTCATTAGAAAAGCACTGATGGAGACTGTACTCAAAGAAAAAATGCCTCCCTCCCAACCCCATGTAACAGAAAGAAAGAGGAAGCAGTCAAAAACAAGGAAGGAGGTTATGAAATATAAAAAGAGAGGGACACAGATTTGGGCGAAGCGAGAGGGACATTTTGAGAGATTTTCCTCATTAAAAAGAGGAGCACAACAAGGGGAGATGGCATTAATCAAGCTCTGAGCTAATGAGGCATTTACTCATTACCCTGAAATAGAGAGGCCAAGGGGGGAAAGGGGGAGGGGGGAGAGAAAGGAAAGAGAGACCAAGGCATGAATTAAAGAAGTAAGAAAGAGAACAATATGGAGGGAGGTGACGGAGTCAAGTATAGGTGTGATCGGGGAATAATTGGGGCAGGTAAAGACAGAGTGAATACGCAGTGTAGAGACAGATAGTATTGATGTAGGAACTAAAACCTTTGGCTCTATTTAAAGATCTGCCATTTGGGGTCTTTACTAGAATTAGTCACATTAAATTCAACTGGTTGAAAAGGCTCTGAGCTTTCCAATGTATGGGATGTGTTACCTCCTCCATACTTCAGTTGTTTAATGATATAGTCCGCGTGGAAATGTACTTTAAAGTGGTTTTTTGTCTCATTGGGGAGATTATTCTATATTATGTATTGATTTTAAGATTTACGTTAATGTATAATATCAATCACACAGTAAGAAAACCTTAGCTTGCTAGAGGACTAGGTAGATGAATAAAGGTAAAACTAAGTTTAATCACTATTTTGATGTCTTGGTAAAAACGATGTATCATCAACGAGAAAATTAGCAAATGAAAGTAAAGTCATTTTTGCTATCAGAGTGCTTTTAAAAAGCATCAAGGCTTTTCATTAGACTAATGGCAAAGCAGTGCAAGAGAAAAAACAAGTCTGTGTTTAATGCATTTGAGTGTGTGTGTGTGCGCACATTGCGTGGCCATCTGTGAAGTGATCTATGTCCCTCCTTGCTAAATGGAGTCGTTAATATTTGCATTATTTAAACCAAGACATCTATAACTCGTTTATTGTGAGTCTTTCAGGCTTTTAGAATGTAAAGGATTGTAGAGGAGCCCAAACAAATACCCTACACAGCACATTACTGCAGCAGGGCTTTGCTTTGTGCTCTTTCTCTGCTGCTGTGAAGTGGAACCGAAACAACGAAGGAACAAAGATGTGTTTTTATTTACTCGTGTTGCTGTTCTTTGCCGCTTCTGGCTGTTGTTTCAAGTTATCTCTGCCAGTGATGGGACAGCTCATGCTGTGGTGGACAGGCTGAGCAAATAAAGAGAAAACAATGTTTTTGTTTCTGTAGAATAAAAAGACTCAGATTGTACACAGATATTTTAGTGTCTCTGTGTAGCCTTACTGAGGAGCAGCTAATTGCTAATGTAGCAGGCAAGGCAAGGCACGTTTATTTATATAGCACCTTTCAACACAAGGCAATTCAAAGTGCTCTACAAAAATGAAAGACATTAAGAGCATTACGAAACATATTACAAAATGATATCTAGAAAGACTCATTTAAAAGCAAAGATAAAAAGCAAAGGTAATAAAAGTTACAGTGCAGTTTAAGATATGAATATATCAATTAAAAGCAGCAGCAAAAAGAAAAGTCTTCAGCCTGGATTTAAAAGTAGTCGCAGCGGACCTGCAGGTTTCTAGGAGTTTGTTCCAGATATTTGGAGGATGGCCATAAACTAAATCAATCAATCATGGCAGTACTAGATTGAGGGCTATTACCAGGACATTAAAGTCATTTTAATTAATCATGTGTTCTTATTTTAAGATGTAGACATATTTCACAGGACTTGTTGTTGATGCTTTAAAAAGTTTTAACAATTTATCCACACCATAAATATATATCTGTACCAATGTACCCATCAGTCTGGACCAAAGAGATTCCATATGTGGAGCGATATGCCAGTGTGGCTAATATAACCCCCTAATGTTTGCCACATATACAATAATTCATCTCTCTTTTTAATGGTAGCTTTAGTTTTGTTGGCATTGTTTTTGCTTGAGGAGAAATACACCAGGGAAACCAATCATGAGTTTGTTGACTAAAACCTTAACAGTATAATTTAAAGGTCACCTATTATGCAACATCCACTTTTTCATGTCTTTGAGACATAAACATGTGTCCCCTCTGGGTAAAGAGATTCTGAACGTTTCAGGAAGAAAGACCCCCTCTCTTTTTTCCTGATCCATTTATATAAAAACCTGGTTTTTATATAAATGGATCAGGAAAAAAGAGAGGGGGTCTTTCTTCCTGAAACGTTCAGAATCTCTTTACCCAGAGGGGACACATGTTTATGTCTCAANGCACGCATTCCTTTTTCTTTCTGTCTGTGTGTGTGTGTGTGTGTGTGTGTGTGTGTGTGTGTGTGTGTGTGTGTGTGTGTGTGCTGCGGTTGTTACCAAAAAGGATTACAATGTGTAGACAGTGATATAGTAGTCCGCACTGGCAGGACACCTTTGCTCTATGATCTGCTCTGCCATTGGCTGTCTGTTTCCAAGGCGACGTGTAGGAAGTGCCTGATGCAGGAAGGAGCGGTCAATGTAAGGTTGGCTTTCGATTGACCTTATTACCCCGCAACAATGGAGAAGGAATAAGGGACAGAGAGGGAAGTGGAAGGACGAAGACGCAGGCCGAAAGTGAATGATGTGTAAATGTGTTTGTATGAGGCATTAAACACATTACCTGGAATAAAGAGGCAATATTGTTCAAAGGAGGATTTAAGTAAAATGACATTGACCTGGTTGGCTTTCTATTGACTGCATGGACACATGCCAAAACACACACACACACACACACACACACACACACACACACACACACACACACACACACACACACACACACAACAGCACAGCACAACACACACACACACACAACCACGCACACTCACACACACACGACAGGCACACACACAGCACACCACACGCACAACAATTCACACACACACACTCTGGCAGGCTTGTATGATCAGGCGGTTAGTCCTTCGAGTGGTCTTGACCTCCATTTAGTCTAAATAATGTTCAGGCTCCCAAGCACTCTGCTCCCGCGCCGACCTTTTCTACAAAGAAGCCTCTCTGGCCCGAGTATTCAGTTCCTGCTTCTGCTTCCTTTTATTTTCCTCCAATATCTCAGACTTCCTTTGTTTCTTTTCTTTATTCACGCTCCTTACATCTCTCCTTGTTCCGACGAGGTACATGAGTCAGTAGTAAAATAGCGGGTGTTTTTCTCAGGAGGGGTGATGACTGCTACTTAGATGCTGAGGCCAAATACTGGGCGAATAGAAGCATGCTGGCAGTGTAGCATGGGAGTGCGCTAGTGATGAGAAATCAATGTGTTAGCGGCACTTTTTATTTATGCAGATAGGCTTTGAAATTTTATTAACCACCAGCCGTCAAAGTTTAATTTCAACCTTACGAGGCTGTAAGAATCTCAATGCAATTACACAACAAGCTAGCAGCATACTTTTATGGTCACAGTAGGGTTGTGGAAAAACTTGTCCATGTTTTATCTTCAGTAGACTGACTATTGCTAGACGGTGTGTCTTTACAGGTTCACTAAATCATAGTTAGAAGCTGCAGCCTTATTCAGATACACAATCACTCAGTTGTGAGTCTTGAACGCGGCTCCTGTCAGTCGAATAATTGATTTAAAAATACTGCTGCTGGTTTACAAACGCATGGAATGGTGTTATTTTGATCTCCTGCTAAATTTATGAACCCATCCAGACTCTCAGGTCTTCAAGGGAGCTCGGTCAGGCTTTCTGTCCAGAGTCAGAACCTAACATGGAGAAGCAGCGGTTTCAGTTGTTATGGGCTCGCAAATATCCCGGAACAACTTACAGAAACGCTGCATCTTTAAAATCCCATTTTTTTTAGTTTTTGCCTTAAGGTCACCTATTATGCAAGCGAATCCACTTTTTCATGTATTTTATACACAAAACATTGTGTCCCCTCCGTGTGTAATAGAGATTCTGGAAGTTTCGGAGAAAAAGGTTCGCCTCTCTTTTTGTGCCTGATCCATTTCTATAAAAAACCTGTCTGAAAATGAGGCTGATCAGATTTTGGGCCACTTTGTGTTGTCATAATGGTTTTTTTGGCTTGTGTAACCATTTAGGCCAATAACCAACCGACAAGGTACGCCCCCCCCCCCCCCCACCTTATCACCTGAATCTCCTCCTAGAGCACCATTGTGTTTTAAAAATATATATCTCTCAGAGGGGCGTGGGGAGTGGCTCCTTATTTTCATCTAAAGTAACAGACAGAGAATCAGTACTTTTGAAACAGGGCTGAAACAGAGGGGATTATGGGATGCTACAATGATCTGTTTGGTATTTCGAGCCAAACACTTCAGAGACATGTTTTGTATAACTGAGAGCTATAATATATTGATGAAAAACAGTATAACAGGGGACCTTTAAAGCTCTTAATGTCTTTCATTTTTGTAAAGCACTTGCCTTGAAAGGTGCTATTTAAAAACAACTTGCCTCGCCTTTAAAACCTAAGATGACCTGGAAGTAGCCTCCCCTGTCTGCTACCACTCCAGCCAGGATTATATTAGTATTCAATTAAAGGACACAAAGTCAAAATGTTGTTTGAAAGACATTCAGGAGTTCTCGGTCACATGCAGTCAAAGCTGAGCCCGTTTTGTCTTCTGCAGGCTCATTGCCTCTGGAAATGACTTTGGGGTGCAGATATGTTGGTACTGCTGAACAGAGTGCAGAGAGCCGTGCCGCCCTGCGGTAGAGAGCATTTGATCAGCTGTGACGGAGTGCATTTCCCTGCGCATCAATATCCTGTTAATATTCTGGATGCTGAAGTATTCGGTTTTGGTGTTGCTGCATGTAAACATAATATCCTGTTTACAATGATTTGATCTTCTCCCCATGCCCAAAAAAGACACACCGATATTAGCTATTAGTTTGTGTTCCTTATCTCGTTTCTTGTAGGAGTTCTGGGACTGAGAAGGTTTGGTGCCTGCAGTTATATTCAGACTTTTCCTGATGCATCTATCATTTTGAGTGGTGCAGGGATAAATATTTGATATCTAAAGTACATAATAAAACCCCCCACAACAGATGTTGATATGAGGATTACTATCAGGAAAGTCTAAACCACCGTCCATAACTCTTAGCCCACAGCGCTGTACTCTGACCTCGAAGGTAGCTTTATTTATTTATTTTCTCATCTACAATACTTACTGACAGTGAGTCATGCAGTGGAGGTTACAGCTTTTAGATTATTATATTTCCACAGAGAGAAATACACAAATACGAGGAAGTGAACATTTACCAAGAGTTATGTTTGGGAAAATGTATGAGTGAAATTATTACGTTACACATAATATTATAAGAAACAATTACTCAATCTCAATTTCCTTAAATGTTTACATTATGATCATTTATAACGTTCTTCAACTGGAAACTTCACCGTTTTCATCTTTATTTGTTTAATTGACAAATGATCACACTTTTATGATGCAGGGTTTCCCACACATAGACTTTACTTGGGCGGGCCGCCCAGGTATATTTCACGACCCATTTCGTTTTTTTTTCGTTTTTTCGTCAGCGACCACGACGCCATCTGCGATGGATTAACTTGTGGACAATGATCCCTCGCTCTACGCCTCCTGTACCCAGTACTCAACACTCTACTTCATTCAACACTTATAATTAATTAAACTTTAACTTTAACCAGCGCTAAAGTTCTCTCGACCAATTTTCACTGCCTTTTTGGCTTCTTTCACAAATTGAGTTTCTCCACTTCAACTTCTTTCTGTATTTCTTGTTGCAGCTATTCTTTCTGGAGACATTCTGATCCATTTCTATACTGAAAAAACTGAATTGTTGACTTTAATTAAATATATTATGTCAACATATTTCACATAACTGTATTAGGTTAGTTGAAAGCAATAATATTTACTTGAACCTAATATTTAAACTTAATATTATTGCTTTCAACCAACTAATACAACCTAATACATTTATGTGAAATCTGTTGACACAATACATTTAATTATAGTCAACGTTTCAGTTTTTTCAGTGTAGTTTCAAACCATTTTGATTTATAGTTTTCTTTATATAAACAGTTCATAATGGTAATTGACCGCAGTGTCAGTACAAAATGTATTTCGGTTTCTTCTTTGTTCCTCTCTGTTGTCTGTCTAACATTTCTTCCCATTTTCTGTCTGTATTCGGATGGGCTGAATTAAACTGAGCTGCTCCCAATTTTGTGCTCTGACACAGGTTCATTTTTCATTTTGTCTTTGGATTAGTGTTACCTAGTTACCAGTACTGAAGGTGCTGGGTGTGATGAGTGGAAATGGAAATAGCGCCGCTTCAGCACGAACAGGATCCCTGCCCTGGTCAGTCTGACATGCAATAACCTGTACAACTTCCCCACTTCCCCTCACAGCGCTCATTCAGAGAAAAAACATTTTAATGGGCTTTTATGTGCACAGTGACACACAGTTTCCTTGGAGGCATGACGACAGTCTTTATCCCATTTCTTAAAAATACTGTGCAGCAGGTGCATGATAAACAACGCAGCTAGTTAGGCAACATTGAGTCAGCAAAAAGCTAGTGGCATTATTCTAAGGCAGAAAAGAGTAACGGTATGGTTGATAAACTGTCAAGCATACATTTTCTCTACTTTCTGAAAAGTTTAGTCTAATGTGTTTTTCCCTTCAGAGCTAGGACAGAATGTTCTGAACAACTTTGCAAAGATAATGACTCCAGAGTGGGATTCCTACATTGCAGGTGCAGCCTCTAATTTCACAATGTATTTTTAACATATTTTCAGAGAGTTAGTAAATGATGGCATTGCATTAAAAATGATGACTAAAGTGATTCATCCTCAGGGAAACATCAATGTGTGGTCAGAATTAAAGGACAATCCACTCAACAGTTGTCGAGATATTTTGCTACAAACCACAGTCATTTTCCCTTGGGGATTGGATTTCCAGTAGATTGAGACCACTGTGTGTATAAAATGAGTTTATATACAAAGAGCCAGCACAACAGCCAAGCAGAGGTTGTAATAACACCTGACATTTTCTTTAGAGAGCTTGTGGTAGAACCAAAAAATGCCGGGGGATCATCGTGGGAGGAGACCTTTCAGAGAAGCCAGGACAGATGCCATGCGGAAAGCACTTACTGTATAGGTCAGTTTGTTCTCCAAAGTGGAGGAAGGCAAGGATGCATTTTGCCAAAACAGTCTCTGTGGAAAGAGCTGACGCCACTGCATCAACCCCTTCAAGGTTAGTCCAACTGAACCAGCCCCACGGGTTGACTTGTGACCAACATTTCGGAAGATCATGAAGACATTTTGATCCAAAATTGATTATTTCCCATTCCCTGCGCCTTTACGCCCAAAACCCTCCCAATGTTTATGAGGAATTTTAATTGTACAGTTATGTGGGGCTGGTTCTGTGTTGTAATCCTTATGCAACATTCTGTCTAATAACTTGCATCTTACATTGTTTCTGGTGTTTGATGCCTTTGAGAAACAGCACATCATTTACAGCAACAGAAATGAATCACAATGAGGATAAAATACAGCATTAACCTTGCTCACCCTTGAACTTTAGAGGTATGATTTACCATTCCTTGTTAAAGCAAGCTTTTCTTTGATTTATTAAATGAGCTCTTACCCGTCTTAATCTGAAAATAACAGGCAAAAAAGGACGGTTCAACTTTTTCATCAAATGTGGGATTAGTGCGGTAGAGCTCAGCGACTGCTTGGATGACTGGTTCAATTCTCATGCATTGTTCTTTCTTTTCCCTGATCTCTGAATAACAACTATGCTATGAAAACCAATGTGGTCCCAGTGCTGCTTCCACTAATATAATCGTTTGCGTATATGACATCATTGTCTGTGTTTAGTCAATGAAAGTTAAAGTATAGCTTCATAAGATGAACAAGGAAGCCTAGAAAATGTGTCAAATATTTCTGTGTTATACTTTTAGTAATTGTCAAATATTTCAATGATGGAGAGTATATGCTTTAGTTGTGGTCATTAAAACAGTGCCATCTTACTGATCGCAATGAAAGGACAGATAAAGGATAGTCCGCTGAAGGTCTATAAACTCCCCAAATGGGTCACTTTTTGGTGTTTCAATTGTCCTTGGTTTTTATATTTTTGTTACATATTGTAAGTAATGTCGGGACTAAAATATTGACTTTGTTATAGCCATCGATGAATATAGGGAGGGCAATGTTGGTCACACAGTTCACCACTTTGGTCAAGACTGAAATATCTCCACAACTTCTCGATGGATGAAGTATTCTAAAGGCCTCTTTTTAGTGCCACCATGAAGTTGAAATGTTTGGGTTTGAGTGAAATATTTTTTGTTGGATTTGCATTACGTTTTCTAGAGATTCACAATCATCAGGTCATTCTACACTGTGTTCGGACTCTGAGATGATAATAAAAAAGCTATGTGATGCTGAAAACTGGTGTAGGCCTACTTTACAGAAATAGGGCTGCATGATATATCCTGTCGTGACGATAATCGCGATATTAACATCGCAGGAAGTGCGATTTTTTAAAAACACGTCATGTTACAATTATTTTGCTGCTTGCTACAAAAGGAAAACTTGCTCGGCTCTCATGTCAGGGGAACTTGAGTGAGTGAATGCAAACTACCAATCACAATCAAATCTCCAAAGCAAACGGACCCGGTGATTAAAGGTAAAAACACTTAATAAAGTAGTTTCATGTGTTTCTCCAGGGCAGTTCTGCGCTGCTAACCGAGCTAGCTCAGCTTGTTGCTCTGATAACTTAAGATCCAGACGTCCGTGACTAAAATCCTTCATCCGGTTAAATATAGTTAAAAAAAAATTGTATAGCATTATATTTCAAGAAAGGAGGGTTTGCGGGAAAAAAAACGGTCTTTTCTTCAATTCCTGTATGTTTTCATATCTCAATATATATTGCAGGGGAAAAGAAATCGCAATGTCAGTTTTTTCCAATATCGTGCAGCCCTAATCAGAAATCAATAATAGAATCAATAAAGAATTGCACTGATACACAGCATCTATCATGACAATAACATTGTATACATTCCCCTCCCTTCTCATAGCCTCAAAGAGCTGTATCATGGCTGTTGACTCAGTCTTCTCTTCAGTGACCCAAATACAGCGCTCTGTGTTGGCAGTGCTACTTGCTTGTTCTGTTTTGCATAATGCATATATTTGGTGTACATAAAATAATCTGCAACTAAAAAAATAACTTTAAAAGGTTGCAGGGAAAGCAAAATAGCCTAACTGTCCTAAAAGCTTATATTGCGTGTTGGTTATGGGCCATTTTAAGAAAACTGTTGCAATATTTTAGATTTGACGTCAAGGATATGAGCCAATACTGTTGAGCAGTTAGGCTAAAATGGCTGCAATTTGTGCTCATTCTCTCAGTGTTCAGAGTTGCTAACATGCAAACAAGCAGCACAGATGATGATACTCTTCATCACATGAACACACAGGATTTAAAATTCAAGGCTTTTTCAACTGTGTGTGCAATGGGATGCTGAGTGTATGGAGGCTGCCTTTACAGTAGGTGATTTCGCTGATTAGTTTCCCCACTCTGGTTGAATTATGCTAATCACTCACATTACTTAAAGGCAGGCACTTTGGACAGCCATGCCAGCAGGAAGCCTAATCTTAGTCGTTCTTTGTTACAAAAATGTAATTTAATGATCAGCCCATGCTATTAGATCAGGTAGGAGGAGAAAAAACAACAACTCTCTAAATCTCCCTGGAGAAGCCCCATGCTCCTCTTCAGCTCCTATCTTCATACTGTGCACCAAAGTGTAAAGAAATCCCTTTGAGATATGCAGTTTGGAAAACTAATCAGTGCTGTAACAGTCAGGGAGCACGCTAATCAGCTTGTCAGTACATTTGTTTACTTTTTTACACATCTCACTTTCTTATCTCATGTAGAAATAAGGAATAACTTAAGAGATGCGATGATGTGTGACCTAATCAATCTGTTGATCGGCTACAAAACACTTTGAATACATTTTAAGATATTGTTAATGCAAAAATGGCTGAGAATTCCAAATCTGTAGCCTATTAAAGTGAATAGGTTTGGGTTTTGAAGCAACAAAAATGGAAAGACTTTGGACATTTAGAGACCTTGGAATTGGACTTTAGGATGGAAGTGTATTTTTGACAGTTTGAAGACCAAAACGACTTTACAAGGTTGCATTTGCCAAACTTTAATTTCTACAACAGAAACACCTGTAACTGACTGGGGACATTGGCAATCATTCCCAAACAAAAACAAGCTCTGTTGAAGACCTTGACAGCTGACTGTGGCTTTTTCCCAATCCCAAACTTCCCTGACATAATGTTCATTTGAGGATTTTTTTCATGTCTGTCAAAAAGTGCCATGATTTGTAGAAAACATTGGACTCACCTATAACCTCTTTCCTTTACACCGCTAACAATCAGCTAACCAGTAAACATGCAAAGAAGAGAGCAACCCAACCGAACCCTAACCCCGCACTTAGTCATCGAGTCCACCGGTTGGACGTATGCTATTAAAGAGCCTGACAGTGTTTCCACCAATTACAGTGAACCAGCCAGCCAGTCAGCTAGTGAACCAGTCACAGTGTTGAGAGTGTGCTCATGGAGCATGACAGTGTTTCCACACACCAATTACAGCGAGACAGTGGTACAGCTGTGCGGTGGCTTGGCACTCAGCCACACTATAAGTACCGCTATCGATTGACAGAAAGTGCATGAGGAGAGCGTGCGAGAGAGACAGTCATGCCAAGTGAGGGGAGGAAGACGTGGAAAAGAAAAACTCCCAAACTCTTTTTCTGTCTTTGTGTTGGTGTAATGATGCATGCAGTCACATTCAAGCGCCTGTTTGTTTACCGTGCATGCGTCTGTATTCATAAGCGCTCTCGAAAATCGGAGTTTCAGTACTGAGGAGACTCAGATTAAAAGTGACAGGCCTCTCTTCTCTCCACTGTCTCTTCTGATCCTGCTAATTATCGCAGTCTGACAGCTCAGGAGAGGAAGAAATACAGAGGGCGAGGGTGAGCGTCAGGCAGAGGAAACAAAGAGAAGGGAAACGTTGTTGTTTTTTGTAACAATGAAATAAGACAGAGCGAGCACAAGACAGTTACAAAGAAAAAGCTGATGTGGTGAGAGAGAGACTCTAAAGCAGTTTATCTAGCTTTTCAATGTTAATAAGGGTATGAGGTTATTAACTTAATGGAGTCGGGATGCTTTATTTTACCACTAAGTTGCACAATCACCCACAATTCCCCGAACCATCGCAAAAGACAGAGAAGTTGGCATGGTTGTGGTGCGCTTTAGAATACATTAAACTAAATGTACTAGCGGGGGTGACTCTATAGATCATACATATAATAATTTGAGTCATTTCAAAGTTTCTCTCTCTCCGTCACACAGAGTAAGGTGAGAACATTTTTAGTATGTTATTTTATTAGATAGATTTAACTTTTAAATTAGTACTGGATGTGTATTTAGTAAATATCTTGTATTTATTTGTATATGCATGCTTCTTGAGTGATATCTTGCTGTAACAATTGTAAATGTCCCCTCTGTGGGACGAATAAAGGTATTTTGATTCTGATCCTGATAAATGTACATTGTCTTTTGAGAGTGATTATTGTCTCTAATTCAAATTGATTATTGTTATTGATATCATTATCAATGTCTTTGGATAGAATCACTTACAATACCCAAACCCATTATCAACAGTCTGTAGTTTCTTTAAACTCTCCTGAAATGTATTTTGTACATTTAACTATATAAACAACTTTTAAAACACAGTTTTTGTTTTCTTATAGTTACATGCTGGAGGCTTTTATGGTAATTTCTTTAACAAGCAGGTTGTTTTAGCTGCACTTAGCTAGCTAATTAACGCTAACTCACTGTGATGACGGAATAACATTCATTTGCTTTTCTCCTGTGCCCACCAATCATGATTGGAAAATTCCAAACTAGCCGGTATGATAGCAAGGCTAAATACATCCCTAGCTACAAGCTTAAGGTTAATTTACTGCCTCATGTCAGAAAGAAAGCAAATAGGTGATGCAAATATGATAAAATAATAAATATGAACTGCTCCACATTTACAGCAGCACTCACTGCTAGGGACAGGTCACTTGTATTAGTTACAAGGCTTTTCAAAGCCACGAGCCTAGGCGTAACGGTGTGTGTCCTTACTGTATACTTGGGTTTGAAATTGCAGAGCATACTGGAAAGTACTCATTTAGCTCCAGTACTTACAGCCAGGAGTATCTGCAGCGAGGAGTGAGCCACCTCTATGAACTGGAAATCCATCAGACAGCCGGATATAGATATATATCGGTGGTCTTCGGGTGCCCAGGAGGGAGGAGGGGTGATGGGTGTCACCCTGCACCCCGGGCCGTTCTCCATCCACCAGGAGCGATGCATGGACAGGTTGAACGTCAGGACAAGGTCAGAGTCCTGGCGAGAAAAAGTCACAGAAACAGACAAAGAGAAAGTTTAATTACATATTCATACACGAGACGGACCTGGAACAAGCTTGAGATTTAATTAAAACTAAACTGTTTGTCATGTAAAGGTCTACTGTATAAGATGGAAGAGGAAGAAAAAAGGTTTGAACCGAGCTCAAAATAGATCCCAGACTTATCATTCCACTGATCTGGGATCACTCAGATTAGATGTGAATCGTGCACAGGCAGGGTTATGATGAGGACAATAACAGAGGGAGAAGGAAGGAAAATGGGAGGAGGCCACGGGAACCAGAGAGAGGTTGAGAAAAATCTTTTAAACGTTTTAGAGATTCTTTGTAAGAGATAGAGGCTTTGTGCTGCGGTGTCATTGGAGGTTTAGAAACGTAAACGTACGTACGGTTTTTCATTAAAATATTTTTAGGTCTCAGATATATACAAAACATGTCTCTGAAGTGTTTGGCTCCAAACACCAAACAGATCATGCATTATAGCATCCCATAATCCCTTCTGTTTCAGCCCTGTTTCAAAAGTGCTGATTCTGTGTCTGTTACTTTAGATGAAAATAAGGAGCCACTCCCCACGCCCCTCTGAGAGATATCTGGTTTAAAAGAATACAATGGTGCTCTAGGAGGAGATGCATTGTCGTATTGTCATACTCATATTCTGTACAAACTGTGAAGCCCACTGAGACAAATGTAACATTTGTGATATTGGGCTATATAAATAAACATTGATTGATTGATTGATTCAGGTGATAAGGTGGGGGGGGGGGGTTACCTTGGTTGGTGATTGACTAATGGTTACACAAGCCAAACACTCGTTATCTTAAAGTG